TGCAAAAAATGTAATTCTTATTAGAACTGTAAAAATGATAATCTATTGTGTGGAAATCAATGGCAAATTTAGGTCTATTCATTGTTACTCCAGGTAATAAGGTCTTAAATACGAAAACAATCTATAGTACATTATCTAGAATAGTGCTAGAATGGGGAGAGTCCACGAGACGTTTACTCCACGCAGGGACAAAGGATTATATACTACATGGAATTATCTAACTCTCACTTGGAACACAAGACAAGATTCTGGATTATAATCACCACACAAGAAACCAAACATGATCATACAGACACACGGGGAGAGGTGATGGCGTGTAATAAATCTTTTGGAGTACAGTCTTTTGCAATTTTTTAGCTAATACTTGCATGAAACACATATTTTTCGTAACGCCCGGGAGGTACGTACCATTAGCTACACCCCTGCCAAATATATTATGAATTAAATGGGCATTTGCACCATTGCCAATAGCAAACAAGATAAAAACTTGATCAAAGTTTATCATTTCAGTCGAAGGAGACCTGAAAGGGTTAATGTATTTCAGTACAGGTTCATACTAGTTTTAAAAACTTTCTTGGTAACTGCGCTGTATTGATACACAAAATATTTAAGAATACATAATTTTTTTCCATTTCAGTTATGATGTCTAAGTCAAAAGGCCTCATATTTGAGACTAGTGTTAAATTTCATCATTGTTTGACCTCCGGTGATCCTGACCTTTGGTTTGAGTAATCATGCTTACATTGTAGCTTACTTTCTAAGCCACAACATGAGTGGTCATACATGACTATATGTTGTTTAGTTTAAAAGTTATTGCGATTCTAGTTTCCCCTACCCCCAATTTTTCATGCATCCGAGGGTGCTGACTTTTCAGGCAAAATACTGAATAGCTCCATTAATGCCGGGTTTCAGCATGTCCACCCTCGCTAAAAAAAAAAAAAAAAAAAAAAAAAAAAAGTGTTCCAGGAGACTCCCTACAAAAATCAAGTGAGGGATTTCGGGGCCCTCTCGACCCCCAAAATACCTCTTGGCTCCAGGACTATTGATCAAATCGGTCAAATCGGCTTAAAACCGGCCCTGTTTGTATGTGTGTGTGTGAGTGTATTAATATGCGTGCATGTATTTATAAATATATATATGTTATATATATTGTATGTGTATATATATTTATATAAATATACACATATAATGTATATATGCACACATACACACACATATATATGTGTTTGTGTATATATGTAACCCAGCTATATCTATATCTAATTACTATATGATACACATATATAGTCTTACATGTTTGTCACATATATACATATTTTCACATATACATATGCATATACGCCTGACCATTGCTTCCCCTGTTTATTCCTCTCTTCTTGCCACACCAGACATTCCAATGTTGTGTTGTCTATCTCATCCACAAGAGCTATGTATTGATGTAACGCTTGTTCTTCACCGTTCGTCACATGCTAACAACGTGACTTGGTGCGATCTTTAGACCACTGTATAGGAGATCAGGTAGACTCCCTGCGGGGATCCTCGGAGCAACACCTCGCTCCTACGAACAGCCGCACTCCAACATTACTATTCATTAAAGGAATCAAGAGTCTTGGTTGTCTACCTTAAACCCTAAGCTCGCCATCTACCAAACTCTTGTAAGGCCTAACATTCGGGCTCTTGCAATATATAATACATATATATATTGCTTGCGCTTATGTGTGTGATCGTTATTTAGTTAGATTCTTAGGTAGTTGGGTTGTTAGATGGAGTGTGAAATAGTTTGGTTGTTGTATAGTTAGATTGTTAGATTGTTAGACTGAGATAGACTTAGATAAATAATTGGATTGTTAGATAGGTGGTTGGGTTGTTAGATGATTAAATAGTTTTTTTGATAGCTTGTTAGGTAGATTGTTGGATAGCTGGATTGTTAAATCGTTAGGTAGTTGGGTTGTTAGATTTTAAATATCTAGATAGATTGTTAGTTGGGTTTCTAGATAGATTGTTAGATAGTTGGACTTCTAGATAGGTTGTTAGATAGTTAGGTTGTTAGATAATACGATTGTTAAATAGATATTTGGACGGCTAAATCGTTGGATAGTTGGACTGTTAAATATCTAGATAGATTGTTAAACATTTAGTTATTTGGATTGATGAACTGTTAGATAGATGGGTTTTTAGATTGTTAGATTTTTATATAGTTGGGTTTGAATGTAAGACTGATTGTTAGATAGTTGAGTTGTTAGATAATTAGATTGTTTAATAGATATTTGGATTGCTGAATCGTTAGATAGATAGTTGTGTTGTTAGATTGTTAAATATTTGGATTTTTGAATTGGTAGATAGTTAGGTTTTTAGATGGTTGGGTTGATAGAAAGTTATACTGTTAGATCATTAAACATCTAGATAGATAGTCAGGCTGTTAAATAGTTAAATACATGTATATATGAATACATATATATACATATTTGGATAAATAAATAGATTGACATATAGACATATCTATAAATAAGTAAATAAATACATGTACATTTATGTACATATGAACTTGTGTGTACATCTCTCTCTCTCTCTCTCTCTCTCTCTCTCTCTCTCTCTCTATATATATATATATTATATAATATATATATATATATATATATATATTATTAATGAATGCGTAGTTACATATACATGCATGTATATATATATATATATATATTATATATATATATATATAATATACATATATTTTTTAAATGTATATATATATAAGAATAATTGAATATATATATATATATATGTTATATATATACGTGCATGAAATATATCCAGTAAACACTTAGGTAATACCGCGCAAACTGCGAGTTGTAAAAGAAAGGGGCGGAGCTAATGACGTCACCGTACTTAGCCAATGAGGACGCTCCGAGAGATGCTACAGATCACTAGATGAATAAATACTTGTATCAATTACTCGACTTATTTACAATTTCTAATAGTAAAACAAAAAAATCCACACGAATTTATGGTAACAAGGTACTTCATACCATAAGCAAGCATCTGTGATAATAAGATAGTATGACATTTTTCTGTAAATATATTGAATTGCAAAGTATTTGAATTAACAGTGTTTCCTGGTTTCCAAAATAGGTTCTCGAAACTTGAAACAGGATGGTCCAATATTGTTTTGGTTTTTACACATCATTTATCCCCTAATATCTCAGTCCATGTTATTACAATTATTTTATGTGAAGTAATCCATTCCAGGAGAGGCAGGATAACGTCACTTTCTTCTGGTCCCTCAAGCACAGGGAACCAGCTATTATGCCATTGCCTTTCGTCGCTTAACCCTCCTGTACCGACTATGGAAGACGTTGGAATTTTCTTGTGAATTTTAGATATGTTGTTCATTATGGCACACTTATGTATCCTATGTTTTCAAAATAAAGACACGCATTTAATACCTATTTCAAGGGCGGGAATTGGGGTTCCCTTCAGGTAGCGTGGGACTATAAGTGCCCATCAGGCAAACAGGAGTTAGATAGAAGAAATGAATAGGCTTCTTTGCCGCGACGGCAAAGGTGCCCTATAACTGCCTATTTGTTGCTTATGCAGGACTATGGAATATTTGTTTTTGGGTCCCTCTGACAAGCAATGTCAGAGCAATGCCGCTTCGTACAGGTGAAAGAACTTATTGGTGCAGTGATATTCATATACCATTATCAGCAAGGCTTAAACAGTCCTGTATTCAGATGTGAACCTGATTTAGATATGAAGTTACACTAGGTTTAGAATTATAGGAGAAACTATTATTGCAGATGCTTGGTTTTCTTATATCTCTTCCTTGAATTGTATTCGCATGGGCTTCTGCGTCTCTTCCTGTTGCTTTGAAGTTGAAATTGGTTTAGTTGAGAATCTAGTGACTTCAAAAAGTTGAGAATTTCTGGCACTCCAAACCCAACACATGGACTCTCTGTCAGGTCAGCGAAGTACGCCTTGACCGCTGCCGGTTCCCAGGAAGTCTCCTGCGAGGCGGGGTCAGTGTGTTCCTCGCACATCCTCCGGAATACCGAGGTCATCCTCTCCACTAAGTGCTCCTCCGTCCACTGCTCCTCATCTGTCACCTCCTCCAGCTCCAGGAAGAAGGTATTCTTGAGGAGGAAGCCCTTTGGCGAGGGAATCTTGAAGAATCTTCCATGGAAATATTTGAACTGGTTCTGGACGTGTCTCGGTGCCCACTTCTCCACCTTCAGGGCACTGAGCACCATCTTGCAGGCCAGAAATACCCTGCGCTTGTCAGCCGTCAGACTTTTCATGACTGCATTTTCTGCCAGTGCGAAAGAGAACCTCCATTCGTTGTTGCCAATGCTATTCAAATACACAGAGTCAAGGGTGGAGGGTGTGAGCTTTGGCCTCCTGAGTGCAGGTGGCCAACTGGCTCTAGCAGTGGCCACAACATCAACATCCACCAGGAGCAGAGGGAACACCTCACCTGTCCAGACGAGGCTGAGCGATACGCCCACCTGAGTCTTCTTCACTCCCGGCAGAACAATGGCCAGTCGCCTGTCTTCAGGCTCACAGTTCACAAGACTGCCTCACTGTGCAATAGAAAAGGTCCAACAATAGTTCATTTAAAGCTTTATCTAATTTCACAGATCCATCTCTTAAGTCTCCTTTCCATGTCACAGGAAAATGTATGTTCATATTTTGTATGATGATATTAAAGTCAAACTCATCTGGGCAAAATAATCGAACATTGTCTCAGAACTCCCTAGCATTTGCAAAATCACCTTTGTACATTGGATTTACTGAAGTAATTGAAAGTATCAACTTTGTATGAACTCTGAAACAGATTTTTTAATTGCACGAGGTTCACCACTTGTGAAATCTACATGACATTCTTGGACAGCTTGACTTATGCTATTTTCCATCCACTTTCTCCTTAGATGTTGCAGATGTTCTTGTATAATTTGAGAGGCAGTATTGTCTCTTTGCATTTTCCTTTTCTGTAGGCTATTGGGTCCAGTTTATACAGTTTCAGGTAATGGTTGTACCCTTTAAGCCTAGATTCAGCAGGAAGGCCATTGTTGTTCTTTATATCAGTTTTAAGGAAGTCCCCAACCTCCTGGTGCCCGAACATGTACGCGTAGTGGGCAGGTGTGTTGCCGAAGCGGTCCTGCACACTCGGTGAGGCTCCTTGGCTCAGAATGTACCTGGCTGCAGACATATTGTTGTGAAGAGCTGCGTAGTGGAGTGGGAATCCTCCACACACTTCGTCAATCTTCTCACTAACGTTGGCACCAGCCACGCATGTCAGCAGGTGTAAGAAGAGAGGCATATCTTTCTCACAGGCCTTGATCATGGCCGACTTCAGTAGTGGATCGAGGTTATTTTCATGTAAAGATCCTGAAGAGACATCCCCAAATACGGCACTTAGTTCACTGAATTCTCTCCAATATGCCTGGTGTATTTTACTTATCGACTCCAAAAGCACTTTGTAGTCGCTTTCCTCAGTTTCCTCAGCTTGTTTAATAGCCTCATTATCCACATTTTCCTTTGGCAAATTCTTGCAATGTTGTCAAAAATATCTTGAATCCAGTCTCTGTTTCCCTCGGATGCGATACCATTTCCATGAACGGACAATACCCACGCAAGGACGGTCCTCCAGCGCTCATCAGGGTTGTCGGGAGAATTCACATGCGGGTTGAACTCCAGACACAGGACCAAGAGGAGTAACGCTTCTTCGAAAACCTCTCTACAACTGGCAGAATTCTTGGCTTTTTCCTTTTCTTGCTCTAGTATAGTGTATTCACGAGCCAGCGACTCCTGTTGGAGAAAAATGCCCACTGCATTACTAATATCCTATTAATTTTCATGCAGAACTGTGTGAAGGTGGAAATATATTCATATATATACATATATACAGTCCCTCTCTTTCTCTCTCTTTATGTAGGCATATGTGTGTATCATATATATATATATATATATATATATATATATATATATATATATATATATATATATATCGATATAATTATTTATTCGACATTTAAAAAGATACACTGTTTCTGTACATTCATCACTGAAACATTTTTTATATATTTTCATAAATCTAAAGGAATATCAATATAGCAAAATTTAGTGTTACAACAAATAAGGGTAAATTATAATGCTAATTTATAAATGGTTTGTATGTTTAAATGCAAGCAATTAATTTGGGGAAAGCAATAAGTTCGTTATTCTAACAATTTCTCGTTAGACGAGTCCTTGCCTTCCTCCATGTAACAGGTAAGCTTAGTGCTAGTATATAAAATCACATTTTACCCTCATATAATAGATTTTAATACTTGATATGTATATTAACATAACAGTTTAATCCCTTTGTATTGATCCATGGTAATCAGATGAGTCCTGGCCTTCCTCCATATAACAGAGAGGAGAAATGGTGGAGAAACTGGAGAGAGCACGCCATAATGCCTTGTTGATAGGGGACATTTGTTACTTCTTTTAATGGTCCGGAGATACAGTAATAGAAGTAGTCGCAGGTGACAATTCCAGGGTATCAATGAATAGATAGAGAATGGAATTAGTTATTAGAGCGAAGTTTAAGAGAAGAAAATTATAAAGAGGAAAGGAAGGGAAATAATCGGCTTATAGCCTAAGTAAAATCATGGAAAGAACACGGTTAGACTGGATGTGAGGGTCTCGATATCGTCTCACGTATGTTTTTTGTTTATTAATATAATTTTGATTTCTAATCAATAGGAAAAGGGAGGGTACAGGATTAATCTTAGATATGAATTGAATTATTGAGATTATTGCTTATTTTAAGTATTATGTGTATTACTAGATTTACAGAATGATATGCCATTTGTTCATCGTTTGGTTATTGAATAAAATACTAAGGGTCACAAATGTTTCTATGACCATTATAATAATAGGCACACTCAACAGAGGAATTAATTCATTCCCACACCCACGAGCCTTAAAGACCGTTAGGTTATGCTACCACAAGATTTAATGGTACATTAAATCATTAAAAACAGGCCTACATTTAAATAAATTGGATCATGGAAAACAGTAGTATGATGTTGTTACAAAAACTGAGTAGAATAAAATATGATAGATAAGAATATAAGAAAATTATTATTTGTACATATACATATATATTCGGATATACGAGATGTGTCAGAAAAGTTCAGGACGGATGTCGCAAGTGATTTATTTCAAACCCAACATCATAGTAAGAGTTTTCCCCTTCAAAGTAATCCCCCTGGAGTCTAATGCACTTTCTCATGCTCGTCCTGCTCATCTTTGTCTCAAGTGAACCTCCAAGACTCTCGCTTGCAAAAATGTATATATTCACTTTTTTATCTTACCGGTGTCTTTATTTATACGCTGCATAGGTTTTGTAACTCCTTTTATGCATATTTAACTTACCTGCAACTGACAAACACAAAAATATCCTTTGATAACACCAATAAAGGGTCATAAAAATTACCCACCAATATCTTGTGGTTACCTGCAACTGTCAATGTTTACATACAAAATCTATCGTGACGTCATCTCGTCCTGCTCGCCCAGGTTCGCAGGAGGGTGAGATGGACGAGATGGACAATTTGTCCTGGATGAGATAGTAGAGGTTCCGAACGGTCAAAACATCTCTTGCAACTGGTCTGGACAAGCAGAACGAGCAGTTCCGAACGCAGCATATGTGTCCAAAGCATAATTACTTGCCTAATTAGCTCGATATGGTATACGTGCTCATTATTTTTCGCTTTACAATATGATGGTACTCTACTGAACTAGCTAATCCTAACAAATCCTAAGTAAACGCCTCCTCATGTGACACGTCACCCTTCTCATGACATGTTCTTGTTACACTCATTTTCCATGCATATTAGTAAGGTGACTCACATATGTATTATCCTCCTCCTTAGCCCTTTTACTGGCCTGGAATGCTTATATCTCAGCCTCTGGAGACGATGTGAGCCTTCTTACCAAGTTTGTAAATACAAACCGAAACGTGTGCAAAAAATGAAAAGAAAGCACCCATATCATGAAAATGATATGAAATTGTAACGTTTTGAATTCGTTTGACGCATAATAACCGAAATGGATATATAGTATATATATATATATATATATATATATATATATATATATATATATATATATATATACACATATTTAGCATATATTTGTGTATATATGTTTGACAATGGATGACTGTCAGTAGTCACAGGTCGCTAAAGTACATGCATGCATATGTCAGCATACAATGCAAAGAACCTGCACTTCAGTTATCTGTTATTTGCATTTATGGTTGCTGCAAATGCACTTTTACTGATTGCTATACCTGGATAATTTCACTCGACATCAGGCTGATCGGGAGTCGTCCGTCGGTGTCGGGAAGGAAGAGGTTCCCCCCATGTGGAGGGCGAGGGCTCTGGCCGTGCCGAGATGCCCTCCGTCCAGGGCAGCGTGCAGGGGCGTGCGTCCTGGTGGTGGCGGGACACCGCGGAGCCGCCGCTGTTCCAGATCCACCAGGCCAGAGTGGAGGCCCGCCCCTGGCTGCGCGGAAGAGCAGCGCATCCAGAGAGTCTGAGGAGCCGGCGGGGCGCTCGAGCGCGGCCTCCCACGGCCTCTCTCCGTCCAGGGCCTCCAGCAGCGCCCGTGCAGCTGCCTGAAGGGCGTCATCCAGGGGCTGCATCTCCATCGCTATCCGGTCTCTGACAGCCTGTGTTTCCAGAATTAATTAGTCAGATGTACTGAAATCGGTGAAACCTTCCTTTTCTACTCACATTGATATAAACGACAGTTACAGTTCAGGCTGAACTTGCAAAGTATCGTAAATATTTATATAGATTCATTATCTATCCCATGTCAGTAGACATTTAATGTCACTCAGACTAACTTCTTTTGCAATTCCCGACTTTAAAACTAAGATGATACAGCTACTGAATATGACAGTGTTCGCTCTGATGCTGCATTGACTCTGTGTCTTAACTTCTATGAATAAGCTAGACCTTTGCCTTTCATCGGCTAGGTAATTTCCTAAAGGAGTTAATTAATTAGCATAGATTATCTAAAACCCCTCCATTGGTTTGCGGTTTTGCTTTACCTCTGCCTGGCGTCAAATGAAAGCTCTCGTGCCTGCACGTAAACGCACGCCACGTACCCTGGTGACCAGCACAGCGACCCAGGTGGTGATGTCGGGCGTGAGCCACGCGAGCTGCACCGGGCCAAGGCCGTCCCTGGTGGCCGTGAGCGGCGCCCCGGCGGCCAGAAGGAGGGGCAGGAGGGGAGTGCAGTTGGCGGTGATGGCGAGGTGAAGCGGGTAGCAGGTGTGGGACCCGGGAGGCTCGAGCGGGGCGCCCGAGGTCAGGAGCGACGATGCCTTCCTCACGGCCGACAGCGACGGGTTCTGACCCTTGGGGCTGGCGTCCGTGGACTCGAGGTCATGAGGTGTTGTTGCTGCATAGGCATTGTAGTATGCGGTTTCCGTTATCAGGCTAAGCAGAGCTACAAACAGCTCTTCAGGACTCTGAAAGTAGATGGCATAACCTATGCTCAGTGCCAGGGTAAAGAATTTATCATAGACGAAGCAAGTCGGCCATGCACTATTTAATATCAAGTAAAGGTTACGATGAAAGCAACTTCCATTGCTACTCTACTTACTCCTTTGGTTTCACAAATGTAATTGCTGATGATCATATTGTAAGCCTGCAAGTGACCTTTCTCGCGGGCAAGGTCGCTGGGAGTCTTGCCGTTGAAGGTGAGAGCCGTGGGCAGGGCGCCTCGCTCCAAAAGGATCCTGATGATGGGAAGGTTGTTCTGCTCGGCAGCCGCGTGGAGGAGCGTCCACCCTTGCTGGTCCTGGAAGTGGATCTCGCACAGACCGAAGTCAACGCTACTTGCTAAGACGCCTGCATCTTTTCCTGTTTTTACTGGTACACTGAAAGCTCAGTGATCCAGAAAATAGCATATCCCTCTTGCAGACGTCCTGTAAAATGTTATTTACGAGGTTGAAATCAATTTCATTGTAATACAATAATTTCATGTATACTGTTTGTGCACTCATTTTGTGTTGATTCAGTGTGAGTATTTATGTCATTACCATTCTACAACCATGGAAACCTTTATATGTAGCATCTCTCTTGGCTTGCTTGCGAAGCCACCAAGCTGAATGAACTTGACCGCGAATGTCAGCTGTGTCTTCTGCAGAGAGCTCCAACTTGTCCCGGAAGGTGATGAGATCGGGATGCTCAATAACCAGTCTTTGAACAACTTCCAATCTCCCGTAGAAAGAGGCATAGTGGAGAACAGATTTTCCGGCGTCTGAGAGGTCTGCAAGTCTGCTCCGCATCTTACAAGTTCTTCCACAGCTGAAATGTGTCCCACTGAGCAGCGTAGTGCAGTGCTGTACAACCACGTCTGTCAACTGCATTGACGTCTGCTCCCACGTCGATGAGCCTTTGAACTATTTTTGTAAATCCTCCGAGAGAAGCATAATGTAAAGGTGTATGGCCAGATTCAGTGGAACTGTTAGGGTTGGCATCGTTTTCCAATAAAATATCCACTGCTTCAGTATGTCCAACTAAACACACGATGTGAAGCCGTGTGTTCCCTTTTTGGGACAGAAGAGAAACATCCAGTGCTTCCAGTGCAGGGCTACTTTCTCCATTTCTGGCATAGTCTAAAAAGCCTCATACGTGGCACTTGACTTCGGGATGTTCGCTACAGTTGCCAACAGAGAAACGATTTCCCTTCCCCGCTAAGATAGAGCGGCGTGTCGCGTGCTCGGTTTTCGGCGTCAGGGTCTATACTCTTTTCAAAGGGTAAATCAACCCCTTCAGGGCTGCCCCGGGCAGCAGACAAATGATGTGTGGGCAAGTCACTGGTTGTACCAAACCCGATAATTAATTCTAACAGTTCAACTACTTTCAATACACATACTGAAAGAGCTTCAGAAACAGAATCCAATGCACCTGGTATTTGGGTACTCTTGATCGTTTGATCGTTCGTGATTAAATTCTTGCTCACCTGTAGGTTAGTAAATAATAATGATATATGATATATGTTTCACATATAATATTATCTACATATAAATAAATATACAAGAAAAAAATATAAAAAACGATAAATATATGTATGTGTGTGAAACTCCGGACAAAGAATGAATTCTTAAAAGATTTCGATGCATTTCGTCTTACCATCTTCCTCAATCACTGCTATTACAAGTGAGAAGGGCCCCAGCTATTTAGCAATATGATTCATCTGTAATATATATTAATGTGATTTTCTTTGGTTTTGCGCCCGCACGCGCGCACGCGCGTGTGTGTACGTGGGTGGTGCATATTAGTGTGTATGTGCATGTGTATTTGCGCACGAGTGTGTATGTACACAAATCTGTAGTCTCCAACTTACCGTCTTTGGTCTCTGCTTGTAAGTTGAGGCAGTCTGGAAAGGTGTGAGACCCTTGCTTTCAAAAAGGAGTTTAGTTATTTTCACTTTGCCACTTTCTGATGCATACTGGAGTGGCGTTTGCAGACTATCATTGGCAGCGTCTGGGTTAGCCCCGGCATCCAAGAGGACTTTGGCCATCGGCAAGCTTCCATGCATTGAGACGTGGTGGAGAGGAGTGTCTCCAGATTCGTCTTTAATTGCAACATCTGCTCCCGAATCGAGGCACTTCCTGGCAGCCTCGGCATCGCCCTGCCTTACAGCAGACCACGGCCTTCTCGGATGGTCCACCTTCATTTTGGTTGAAAACTCCTCAGTATCATTTGATAAGAATGTTTCATTGAGGTTGACCTTCTTACAAAGATTTTTTTCCAGATGCAGACGTAGAACCTGAAACACAGGCAGCGTGTTCATATATCAATATCGTTACAACTATTTCTAAATCTATTTTATCTATATCTGCATCCCTTCCTCTAACCTGTATATAGCTTATCACTGTTTCCCACCTAGGCAGAACCTGACATAAGCCTTTGCAAGTGAGCTTTAAAAGTGATAGTTGTATAGAGACACTTGTCAGAGGTATATTTTCATGTTGCGATATAACTTTAGGTTTTAGTTTTGCTATCTTTGCATCCGTTTAACTATGTTTTCATAAGGTTAAGTAGAATCAGGACAACCTCAAATGAAACATTTCTTATCAATAAAGCTGGGAGAGTTTTTCATACCAAAATGTACGGGCGATATCCGCGCAGAGGATGGTCTAGTGTGCATTTAATGGTCCAGAGGCTCGAGAGTGTGTAGATATGCTGGCCAGGAGGCGCTCGAATGAGTTACGCGGGGAGGAAAGCAGATGAATGTGCGAATTAATGACGAATCTTTGGATGACGATACCTCTACCACACAGATCTCAAATGCATGGAAGGCTTATGAGCACGATGGCCAAAGTCGTCTCTGTGATATGCCGGTCTCTCTAACCCAGACCCGCTAGTCTCCATAATTTTACCTCGGCAGAAACGGCAACAAAACGTCCTCAGTATTGGTCAGTCCGACAGACACTCCCTAAGAACAGTGATAGAAAAAAGCTCAAGCGTGCCCTCCATTGGAAGATTCGTGCACGACTCTCATCTACATTTCCGGTGAGTCCAATGCGCTGTTCCCAGATACGTAGCGTAGCCACGACGACATATACTACAAATGTATTCAGTTCGTGTTGGGAAGAGTGTTGAGCGACGATTAACATGAACATTGTTATCCAAGTGGTCGTGTACTATACAAGTACTCTCCAGACTTCTCCCATCCACCTTCCCTAAACTTAAATAATAGCGACGTTTTCCAAAAGCCCCCTGAGGTACCGGATGCGCATGTATTGCACAACACAGCCTGAAATAGGTACAACTGCTTGGAGGCATCCCTGACTGAACAAACTGACGTTAAACATGCACTACTAGCGTATGCACTACCTCCACGCTGACCGCTCGAGCATGCATGCCAACACGCGATATTGCACATCAGCACTATCACTGAGCTGCCATCACATCACATCACGACGCATTCTACAGCATCAACACTTACACACACACACATCTATCATCACGACACTAAAGAATCAGAGGCCACGACGGACACCACACAACTCACATAACACGCTCGATCCCGGTATGGATGGGGAACATCTCAGCTGACCACGCTCCTCACAGAATCTCCATTCTACCACATCAGGAATTAATTAAAGCCTCAGTACTCGACCCACACAACAGCGTTTCTGTCCCACCCCCCCAGGCCGAACCACAAATCCTCGCCATTATACTACCTGTAAGGCATATCAGACAGATGATAACTCATCATCTAACCAGCTATTGAGGGCTAAGTGTCGGGGTCTCACACTACTTGTGTCAAAAGTCTCCACAACAGACTGCATAACATATGCTGCATTTTGTGTTGACTGGGTTAGACTGTGTTACACTAAGGGTAGCGCGGTTTCGAAGATCGTGTATACTCTTGCAGGGTTCAGATATGTAAGGCAAGTGGCATTTTCAGAACTTAAATCTGACCAGAGTAATAACATTCTATGTCTCCTTTATATGCTACCCGACTGTTTATCGATCATCGAATCTCAGATGGCGAACCGAAGACATCGCATAGTTATTCTCTTGGAATTTAAACATCAAGCCCATAGAAATGGTCAGCATTGCATTCCGGTTTGCCCATGTCCAAACGTGCACAAGATCGGCTGGAAGTTAAAATTTCTGTTATAGACGATACAGAATCGTGCAGAAAACGTCTAGGCGCCACCAAGTGGAGAAAACACCTTGGAAGCGATTTATGTATAGTTCCTATTTCTGGTACTATTGCTTGTATGGATAGAGTGTATCGTTGAACATGAAGTTATGAGGCCTGAGTCTTAGAGCCACACTCAATACTAGCTATACGCCTGGAGACTGCGTGCCAGAAGACCATCAGCGTCGATCACCGGTGCATAACTGGTTCATAGAAATAGCCAACATCGTCCAAGAATATAGTTTGGCCCTAAATAGAGCTCTTGGAGCACTTCCTTCAACTTCTGGGCGCGTTTGAATGCTAGACTTCAGCGCATCAACTATCGAAATCGCTTAATTCATTCCTATCTATTAATGATAATATCCGCGTTATTTGTGCCAATTTACTGCTATACCCATCACTTCCGGCATAACACATTATTGTTTCGTTCGGAAAGTCGTTAGTGCTGTGTCGGGACGAGCACATTGAGCCTGGATTACATCACTCCTTTTGATAAGATGCCAAACTAGCTCTAGACAGCCGTTCAACCCCAGTCTCCACGTGCATACATTGGTCACAATCCCTAGATTTGAATATAATTTAACGGTTGGCTTAAGCGGATTATATAAAGATAACGAATTAAATACTCAGTTTTGTTGCCAGCAGGACTACCTACTCAAGCCGGATCTCTGCATCTACAAATCAAATTGATCATCCCAACAAGTGGAATGGAATCGAAGACAAGATTTTTTCAATTCAACAAATTGAACCATATCGTATCCTATTTAGAGGGATTGCAATCGCAGCCCACAACTGAATCGTCACAACGCACTTGACAATGGTCTGCGGAGCCACAGCCAATGATTGTGCTCCTTTTGTGGACTTATCAGAAGATGAATCCCTGAAAATATTATCTTGCCAAATGGGATCTTCTGAATATGCCTTCAGGAGGAGGTGGTGAACTCACAGTATACCCGTTGTCTTGTATGCTGAGCTTTGCTAATGTTCTTGGTTGTTGCATGGGTGCACCGGACAAAGAGCTTTCCCAGACGTTCGCAGCTAATAACCCATTCCATGGATGGCCGATGGATCCTAATACTAGTATTTGATTCCGATCGACCCAATACGCCCATAAGAGCTAGGGCCTGTGAATAAGGCGCTCTAGCCAGTAGACGACACTGTGGCACCTCAGGAGATACTACGGGGGAAAGTCCCTGTTACTCAAGAATGCACACCCCTGGCAGGCAGTGACACCGGCATTACTGACTCCAACAAACCATCATTTAAACTGATATTTGAAGCAGGGAAACTGCCCCAAGAATACCCAGCTGTTTAAGTCATACCTTCGACGAGTTAGTAAGAGGCATCGCCCTCTCCTACGACTGTCAGTTAGGGAATGGTAGGGATTATGCTGGGCACTGCTTATGCAGTAGATGGTTCGATGCGCCTTTGAATGACAACGGTTCGAGTACGAATCGACCCAACACGAATATTGAAATGATATTTGGCCAGTACTAACAGCAAATAGGTATGTCGAGAATTCAATTCACCAATGACGCTATTTAATATGGAACGAACCCTGAAGGGTCCAGCACGATAACATGATGGTGAACGTCGTGTGGCCTATTAACAGTGCATTGAGCAGAGTGTGCCAAGCACGGGATAACTATGTCAGAGGACGACAAGTACTCGTTTATTATAAAATAGACACTACAGCCTATGCGCTATCTCGCGATATATATAAGATTTTTTTTCTGGTAATTAATCATCAAAATACTTGTCAGAGATACACCACTAATAATAGCTTTCCTGGCGGATTACTTTACACAGAGAAAGACAATACAAGAAAAAAAAGTACAAACCTAATGTCTTTTTCAGATGTGTCCCTCACCACCTGCCCGGGGGATTTATATTTTGGGTGCAAAAATTCTTCTTTCTCCTCCCTTTTCTCACATTAAACCACCTGACACAAATTAAATGAATTCCAATGGCCAGGCTATCCCTCTGAATTCACAACCAAGATACTTAAAATGTCAGTACTGAGAGGGTACAAGAGAATTGGACACGTGTACTATCAAAGACTACTCTTGTGGATACGAGGAGCAAACGACCAAATGACCGGAAGCCGTGAAGCAGAATAGAAGGGACCGAGATTAGCAGAGGTGAGAATCAGGAAATGGGATGAAGAACAAATGAAAAAGGAAAAAAGCGCTTTTGACTCCGATGTAAAGTTTTCAGTGTAAACAAATGCTCGAAAGCTCGACTGAAGGAGCACACAAAGTGCAGTATTCTGTTACAAAATTTTCGAGGATCTAGCGACACGGCGATATTTACTCCTGAGCGATTTTTCTAAAATTTCAATCATATAACCTTGGCCTGAAGGAAGGCCCCAGTGGCGACAGTGGTGCTAAGGACCACTTATCAAGCCCTAATGAGCCACTGCTAAAGCTTACTTCTCACCATCATCATTGAAAGGAATCTCGGCCAGTCGAGTATGCGAGGCAATATTGCTCTCCGTATTCCTCAGCCGATAAGTATATCTAGACCAATTGCTAAGATTTCCATCTTTACGAATGTAGTGACTAGTGAAAGGGCCTAGTCGAGCAACAGCACACGCGAACAGTCTTATCCTAGTTGCTTCTCAGTCGGTGCGTCATCGTTATAAGGCGATTCTCAACAGTAAATCCTAAAAGCCGTGTGCGCCACATGGAGTAAAAGTTCTTTCGAACCCGTGTGCTCCAACTCAATCTACGTGACGTCGTCACGGCAACAGTATATGTGACAATTTGAGGTCAGACAACATTTATTGAGAAAGGATCAACTACAAGGACTCCCTCCGAAGGAGCCCTGCCTCATTAGGATCCGCGCGAGGTCGCATGCGCATAGTTTCAACCTCCGACTTTAAGGGACTGCTCGGATCATTGCCATGCGCACTCCGGTCCGAGGATCTGTCTGGCTCATCCAGCTATACGCGCGCCTGCGATACTCGGTATGCTGATCTATGTGCCCGAGGGCAGCTCGAAGCAACCATGTCAATTCGTTACTCTCGTTGCCTGTTATGCTGTCATTCGTGATAAACTAATCTGCGTATTTTGATGGATATCGAGTAACGCGCACTCGACGATATACTGCTATCTTCTGGCACAATACAGGGCACGACAGTTTCCATATCATTTGACGCTATCTCTGTTCCCCGAGAGTGATATAACAAATACATCTACACCAAATAATTTTAGGATGGGAGTGATAAATTTATCTACGCTAGCAATGCCATTGCTACGAAAAATAGTTACGACCTTTCTCTTCCGAATATCTCTACTCACGAACACCTAAACAATAATGACACAAACAGTTATGAGACGGTAATATAGGCCAAGATCTGAGACTGAGATAAAAAAACATCTAGCAATGTCTCAGTTAGCAAATGTCTGATTGATCGTTCAACCTAGAAAAGGGAAAAACTAGAAGTTCTTCACACTTGTTACTCATTGGGGTTCAGAGTGTGTTCTAGCTCTCATGAGAATAGACTCATTCACTGTGAGAGTAAAAGAGTATAGTCACAAGTTAGGCGAAAATGTCGCATCGCTTGTTATCGCGCAATACAAGAAATAGTTTGGCAGCTGAAACGACAGTCGAGTCTTTTTACCAACAGATGTATAAGATATATAGATCAGTGTTCATGAGACTCTCGCTTAAAAGGTGCGATATATAGACATACTTAAAGACAGAGTTTAGGTGATGGTTCACGTGTAATAGTAATGACTCCAGAGAAATTGGCACTTACTGCTGAGTTTTATCATATATATCTCTACTAGAGTATATGAGGCGAAAATGAGGGATAAAGGTGGCAGTTGATTCAATATCTAACAGGGTAAGCGTTTGAGTTGTTCGAAGTATTGTTGAGACGAGAGAGTTAGCTTATTATACAGCCTTACTTGGAAGTACCAATTTTCTCGATCTCTCGAGTCCATCTGAGAGTATGTAGAGAAGAACTGGGCCATTAAGCGTCTCGAAAATGTTGGCAGAATTCTATATGGGGAAATTATTCGGACCGCAGGGGTTGCGAACCATGTAGGCAAGACAGTGGGAAGCGTAGACAACATGGTCGCGTTTATCTGGACTCGTTAAGGCAGGTGGGCTTGTGCAGATAGCGTACCCAACATTCGGCGTATAGAGGCTGCGCTCATTGCGAGATAATACAAAGGCATTGTTGCACTAATCTTTCTAAAGACTTGGGCAAATCGTGGAGACAACTCGCTTCGATTCACAATCGCACGTGGAACTACAATAAGCATGTGCAGCTTGACTAGCCGATCGGCACAAATCACGTCTTGGATGACCGTCAGGGCACGTTAGACCCCAGACGGCTTGGCCAATGACCCAGTACTGCCAACTACGTGCCACTCACGCGCGCGTATGCAATACAGAGACAGCGGCGCCAAAGTGGAGAGAATTCAGTTAGTGGGCTGCTGTCTAGATACCCTTGCCCCATCTTTTCGCACGCAAAATGAGCAGAATACGATATGGACATGTGTGAATCAGGCGTCCTTTTCGAGACTATACCTGCGTCGCAGATTCAGAGAGAATCCAAACATAGCCGTATCTAATTCCGATAATATAACCAAGCCTCTAGCAGTATAACCTAAACTTAAGACGAGCTGGAGATATATGATGAGGATGCCTGAGTCGAACATCTTACAGTATTCTATCTGTATCATAGCTAATAGGTATATAGCGTGAGCTCATTGCATACGAGAGACTTATACTAGTGTCACGATCACACACATACAAACTTTGTCCCAACACCCACACACAAGACCGCGCGCACACACACATCTGTCTCACATGTGGCCGCAGAAAAAAAGACAATAGAAATTAAGTAACAAAAAGGCTAATTGCTTTAGGTGGTTGGGGAGTACACCAGCCTCAAAATTGATCTGCAACAGTATCGTAAATCATATTGAGCAAACCGTTCTCACTTTTCACTGACAAACTTTGCTGATTCTAAACGTAACAGTGAGTCTGCAGGAAGAAGGAAAGTGAGTTGCGTACGGACAGAAATGAATGGGAAATCGAGGTGTTATAGACCTTCCTCAGGAGATATCTACTCTCTTTTGTACACTATGTCAGGTATTCCGGTCAAAAATTTACATTGAAGAAGAATGAAAATGTAATAATAGACCGGTAACTTGGACATCTGTACGCCCAAACAATGTTGACATGTTGCCGTCTTAGAATGTTCAATAGTTGCTGCCTCACGAGCTTCCAAGCTTACCTGTGCTCCTCTACTTATTGATAGTGATCTCACAGTAATATGTAAGGCGAATAGGAACGCCAGTACATGCTGGAACTGGCCAGGCCTAAGCCTATTTAAATCATCTGAACGACAACTGTGCAGGGCCGTCATTTTGGGTGCCAAGACCCGGACTTATATCATCAGTATCTCAAATTTTATATCCTTAACTAAAACAATGTCTTTATGTTATTGACGGAAGACCCCGGTAACAAAGAAGAGATCCATGCGAGTCATATAGATTTCCATTCATTTCGTCGTACCCATCTTTCTCAATCAACTAGTTATTACAAGTGAGAAGGACCCCAATTGATTCATCTGTAAGATAATGCACATTTTTTTTTTTTTTTTTTGCGCCACGTGAGAGAGTGTGTGTGCGCGTGTGTGGTGCATATTAGTGTGTATGTGCATGCGTATTTGTACATGAGTGCATATATACACAAGTCTGTAGTCTCCAACTTACCGTCTTTGGTCTGTGATTGTAAGTTGAGGCAGTCTGGACAGGTGTGAGACCCTTGCTTCGAAAAGGAGTCTAATCATTTCCACTTTGCCTCTTTCTGATGCACTGGAGTGGCGTTTGCAGACTGTCATTGGCAGCGTCTGGGTTAGCCCGGCATCCAAGAGGACTTTGGCCATCGGCAAGCTGCCATGCTTTGAGACGTGGTGGAGAGGAGTGTCTCCAGATTCGTCTTTAATTGCAACATCTGCTCCCGAATCGAGGCACTTCCTGGCAGCTTCTGCATCGCCCTGCCTTACAGCAGACCACAGCCTTCTCTCAAGGTCCACCTGGGGAACAATATTTTTTATGGCAGTCTTTCACATTGATAACTGTATTCTAGAAATATTTGAAACTAACCTTATTATATGAATCCTGCCTTCTCTCATTATATATTTATATAAACATTTGCATCTCGGTATATCTTTACATCTGTCTCTAAATCTGTCTTTATCTATATATCCCTACATCTAACCTCTATATATCTTATCACTGTTTACCACTTAAGCAAAATTTGACATAAAACATTGCAAGTGAACTTTACAAGTGATAGTTTTATAGAAACATACCTATCCAAGGTATGTTTTCATGTTGCGATATGATTTTAGATTTAGTTTTACTAGGTTTGCATCCGTTATAACTATGTTTCATAAGGGTTTGAGTAGAATTATTAGAGTAATTATGAGAGGTGATATACCTCCTATATGGTTGATTGAATACTGGTGGGCAGTACTGATGTGGCTGTCCTCTTTATTGGCAAAGAGTAACTCGCACTTATCCATAAATACGCAAGTATCACGATGAAGAGCACGAAATAGCTGACGGTGCTGAGTGCCCGGCCTGCACGCCAACGAGGCGGTATGGCTGGTGGCAAGTCCGTCGAGGGTGTGAGCGTCCTAGTGAGTGAGAGCGCGACCCGCCCGGTCAAGGGCAGGCTCTTCGAGGGTGTGAGTGTCCTCGGTCAACCTCAGCTGACCTCTTGTAGGCGGCCCAGATACCCCAGGCAGGCTTAGGTTATATTTGAATGCAGGCGACCGAGCTTAGCGTGGGTACGCCATGCTAGGAGGAAACTTACAAGGAAAACCATGCTAGGAGGAAAACCAACACGGAACCCAAGCCTCCCAATCCACGTGTGTGCCATGAGTATGCTTTCTCTCATTGCCACGTGTCCAATCTCTTCTATAGTATACTATAATAATCCTTCATTATTTAGTGTCAGTGGTTAATTTGTGAGAAGGGAGGAGAAAGAAGAATTTTGACACCAATAAAATCGACAGGTGTGGACACTGAAAAAAATTAGGTTTGTATTTTTTTTTTTTCTTTTTAAGTAGTCGAGGAAAAGCTATTATTAGTGTGTATCTCTGACAAGTATTTTAATTATCAGAAAAAAAAATCTTTAGATATGCGGAAATGCATCGGTTAGTGTCTATTTATATAAGATCTCTCTAAATCCGCTTGCACACTCATGCATGAAAGCACTCCCAGTTAGGCCAGGTTCGTCATCATCATTGGAGAATCCATTCTGTAGATGGCCAAATCATTTCAATTCGTGTTGGGGTTCGAAAACGTTGTACAAGGCTGACTCACGCATCAGTGCCCATCCACATTCCCTAACTGAAGTTAGAGAGGCGATCTCCAACCTGAGGTATGATAAAGCAGTGGGTATTTGGGGCATTCCTGCTCAAATGTTAAATGCTGGTTGTGGAATTATGCTGTCCTGCCTGCCATGTGGCATTCTGGTAACATTCCCCCTGACCTGCTGAGGCCAGGGGTATTGGTATGGATAGGACTGCAGCAACAACCAAGACATTACAAAGCTCAGCATACCAGACAAGGTTCTTGTTCCCACCCCTCTGAGGCATATCAGAGATCCCCTATTGCAGCAATTTGGATTCACTTCTGATAAGTCCACAAAAGACCACAATCTGGCGCTCAGAGCCATTGTCAAGTGCCGTCGTGAGTTCAGTTGTGGGCTGCTTGCATCCTCAAATAGGAATACGATATGGTACATTGTAAATCACTCTGGGAGATTCTGAGTCTGAGAGGAAGCCAAACAAGGATTATTCGATTAATAACAAGCTTTATAATATTCAAGATGCCAAGTATGGTGGGGACCTGTCAAGCTTATTCACTTATCAACACAGGAGTGATGTAAGGCTATGTCGTCACACCAACACTTTCCAACACAACAAAGACCGGATGATGGGCAGAGCTGTTATCAAAGGAATTGCATAGCAACACTAGGCGATATTAAGGTTACCAACCTTGACTTTACTGACGATGTTGCTATTCTATACGAGTCTCTGAAACTGTAGAGGTGGCTCTAGATACCTATAACTATCAAGATACTATCCATACAAGATTAATGCTTAGGTTCCAGACTGTCCATCTGGATAATACCTAGTAAGGACGAAGCTGCTGACATTTTGGGCTTTACAGATATTTCTTCTTTTTTATGATTGATGGAAACTCTGTATAAAGAAACTTCCTGGTCTTTAAGCTTTTC